TCACATCAGTTACCCTTCCATTGATTGACATATTGCCTTTCTAGTGTCTGATGTATTCTGCTGTCTGAGGACTTTTTAAAAAATCTTCTCAGAATTTAATCTTTAGTACCTATCTAAAAAAATGAATTGTCTCAGCGATGATAGATTTCTCTATATATTGAACACAGTGTCAATCCTCAGTGCTTGGTGGCTTCCTCCTCCTATCAAGTCAATAGGACAATTATTTCGGATCCCAGTTTTTCAGATGCAGATTCTGTGGTTCCAAGATCCCAAGTAACTGGCAGAAATCAAATAAATAATTAGTGGCTGAGATGGAATTTCGATCAATGTCTGACTTTCATTATCCTTGACACTGTGCGATGGAACTGTGAAGTCCACCTACCTGCTTCCAACAGACTTGGTCAAGGCTAGTTCCTTCTTGTTGTTGTTTAATGATTTTCACTTTTTACTGCCTTCCACTTGTATTCATTAAGTCCAGCCAGGGCCATGTTCCTCCAGTGTGCCTTGGACTTCATATGCTTTAATCCCAGTGCTACTTCGCTGAGCTCCAGTCCTCAAATAGGACCTGCTTCTGTTAATGCTGTAGCCTTTGTGCCCATGAGGGATTTTTGGCTTTCATGTAGCACGAAATTTTAAGCCAAGCAGGCTTGAGCCACACAGGTCTATATTACTAAAGGTAACTGAATTACCAACAGGTAGATTGGACTCTAGGGGCCAATCTATACTGTGTGGCTCTGCATTCCTGGGTGGGTTTCATTTTCATCCTGTCCTTGTCTTTAAGGTGGTAACAGAGCTGCTACCAATTCTAGGCTTTTAACCTACAGTTTGGAAGCCCAGAAAATGGAGCTATTCTTCCCAGCAGTTGGAGCTAAAATCCGGTGCCTCACTCTCATGGGTTGAAAGCGGGGCCTGTCCACCTCCTCTAAAATGATGAAATGGACTTCTGTTTAACCAAGCTGCAGTCACTGCGGACCTCCACAGCTAGAAGAGAACTATGAAAAACAGAACTGCAGGGGCTAGCAATGAAAAGGAGATTTTTTTTTCCCCTCCAGCAACACTGTCTAATGGAAATATAATGTGAGCTGCATATGTGATTTAAAAGGTTTTAGTAGTCACCTTAAAAAAAAAAAAGTAAAAAGAAATGGGTGAAATTGATATATGAGTTGTAATTTTTATTTACGTAACTGAGTATATCTAATATTTTCATTTCAGTATCTTGATATAAATACTGGCTAGAGATATTTTACATTTTAGTTAAATTTGTAGTGAAAGTTCAAAGTTGGAGATCATATGTTACTCTTTCAGTACATGGAAATTTCAAACTGAGTCTCTCAACTGCTCTGGCCTCACGTGAGCTGTGGAAGTTGTTGGTGGCTTCTGGCCTCCATACTGGGTGGTACAGCTCTGGTCTGGAGGGCACTGAAGTGTAGGGTTATCAGAGGACAAGTAAATGCTATGGGTTTGCAAAACAACAGATACACATCAAGCCTTCCTGATTGGTTTCCCTCTTTTCTGTATCTCAACATTCTGTAAGCAGATCCAACAGGATGACCAACAAGTTAAATAGTCATTAAACAAGTCCCTGATCAATTGGTCTCAGTTTATTTTTCTAAAACTAAATCATCACAATATTTCTGATCGAAGTTCTGACCCAAACTAAAAGCAGTCACAGCTGTACTGTCAGATATGACGTGGGAATCCCTGTAGGAGTAGGGTTCATTTGTAAATCTCTTTCTAGGAGCATTTGAATATTGTGGGGCCCTTT